GGTATTTTTTGACAATATTCACTCATCATGACAGTAAAATAGGGCATTCTAAGTCAATATACTACAGTATTTCCTCTCTCAATCAGTGGAAAATATGGTTAACACCCGGTCATGCATGGAAAAAAAAATACCGTCTTGTACCGTGAAACCGGTATAATTTTGAAAAATACCGTGATATAAATTTTTGGTCATACCGCCCAGCACTAGGTGTAACGGTACGCGTATCGTGTACCAATCGGTTCACGGGCAAATTCCAAATGGAAGTGATCATCCCTATCACTCCAAAGTCCCCACTCCAAGCGGATAGGGATGATCACTTCCATTTGGAATTTGCCTGTGAACCGTTCGGTACACGATACGCGTACCATTACACCCCTAATTTCTAGACAATTGCGAGCAAACAGATATTGCTGTTAGCCGGTTAGACAGAGACCTACAAGCTGCACGGAGCGAACACAACACACACAACTAAATATGTATTTTGCATGATACAGTACAGAGTCCATGACAGCAACAGTTTTTAAAAGAATTACTCCACTTTCAGAATAAAAATTTCCTGATAATTTACTCACCCCCCATGTCATCCAAGAGGTTCATGTCTCTCTTTCTTCAGTCGCAAAGAATTTAAGGTTTTTGAGGAAAACATTCCAGTATTTTTCTCATGTTACTCCCCTACCAAACTGTGATGCCCTGTCCGGCCGGAGCGACGAGACAAAAACGTTAAAGCCCATTATAAATGAAGCATTTGTTGCATCCAGTGGGGACATAATTACGGATTATAATGACTTATACTGCCTTTTTACACATTGCATCGTGCTGCGTAAACATAAAAGCCTGTCTGCATTTGTGATCGGAGAAATGACAAACAACAAGCGCTACTCTACTCTGCTCAAAACTCGCGTTTCATTCGTCAGTGGCAAATTCTTTATATATAAAAAATGTACTTACAGTCTGTGAGTCAGAACAGCCGGCATTGTAGTCTACTCTACCAGGATCAGGAAATAGTCATAAAGTCATAAAATGTGCTGCACACATCTGAATATTTGGGTTGAACTGTTCTGGAACAGTGTTGTAAATACAACTTAACCACTGATTTCTAGTGGTTTACATAAGATAATATGCTGTAGTAGTTTCGCTTTCACAACGAAATTGCCTCGCCTTGAATCACCTGCGATTTTGAACGCGATTGTGGGTAGCTTGTCAGTGATCTACGGCTCTGTGTAGTAAATGCCACTCCATCTGAAAGCACATGCTGGAGATTTACTACTAATCACCAGAAGCGGCTTTACTGACGAGATTCGCAGGATCTCCTTATTCCTTATTTGGAACAGCGCTAGTTCTTTTTCACGTTTTTAAAAACATGAATACATCAACTTAAATAAATCAAGCACGTCCCATTTTGCAAAAGTCACGTTGCATGATTTTTCTGATTTGCACGTGAAATTGGGCTTTTATGGAGGAGCTAAAGTCACCGTTGGAAAGAGAGCGGAATGGGGCGCAATAATCGTTTTATCTTGATTATTGTATTTTCATAATCGTTGACGGCAGAAATCGAAACTGTATTACAATTAATTGCACAGCCCTAGCCGATTTGTCATTTTGGGTGAACTATCCCTTTAACATCATTGTCAGAAAAGGGGTTTTGTGTTGGAGGGTAATGTTATGTAAAATATGGACTATAGCTTTCTGTGAAAGTGTGATTTTAAATATCATTAACTTAAGAAAGGAAGAAATAATTCCAAAGGCAAAAATATCTGCTTTATATATTTACTGTTATCATTGTTTTGAAATGGTGCTATTGATAGTTTTCACGTGACGTCACATCCTTATAGGACCACCCACCTGGAGGGCAAAACAAAGCTTTGCTCCACTGACCGACAGTTATTTTTACGCAGATTGCATTAAGTAGTAATGTAGTAAAACGCAGATATTAAAGGGTTAGTTCACCCAAAAATGAAAATTTGCCCACAAATTACTAGGGATGGGTACCGAAACCCGGTATTTAATCGGTCCCGGGGCTAAATTATGAAAGACCGGAGTATCGATAAGCTCTGACGTTAACGGTTCTGCTATCGGTACTGGGAAAAATTAATAAAACACACATACATTTATTATTGCTATATATACATTATCTTGCAAATTCTATCTCACCAGAGTCGCCAGCTGTTTTTTCAAACATTTGTCTATGATGCATTTTTGCTATTCGCAATTCAGAAGCGAGATCACGCCCACGCGGAGGATCTTCAGCACGCGCAACATGAAAGCCCTGTTTAATTATGATAGAAGAGAGAACTAAACATTCAAACATCTGCTTACACTTTAGGCCTGTGGCGGTTTTATTAAATATTTTTTTATTTCGATAAAAAAATCTCCAAAACGGACAAACAAATTACACTTTGAGCTTCGGGCGCATGTCCAATCGATCAAATACACACAGAAATATGTCAAAATGGCCAGCTTGGAGAGTATTTACTTAAACACAGTTTATGTCTTAAGTGGAGGAGAACAGTTGGGCAGAAAATCCATATATATATATATATATATATAAAACAAAAAGTACCGAGAAGAATACCGTTAAAGTACCGAATCGATAAGTAGTATCGGTAAGAGTAGTAATACCGTTAAAAACTTAACGATACCCATCCCTACATGGGACACCCTATGGCAGGGATCCTGCGAAATTCAGTAAACACCTCATTGTCTCAATTTCTGCCTTTAGAACACCAGTTGGACTATACCAATTCACCGTTCTACCCTTTGGTCTGCACGGGGCACCTGCCTATCAAAGTCTGCTGCATCACAATGATGTATATTTTGTACAGGCAAGCAGATGAACCCAGAATATAAACACAATGTGCAAAGTTTCACATTAAATGGTTTCCCATAGAAAACCACTATAAGGAAAACTGAACCATTAAGCGGATTGGGAAAACACTGAACCATTAAGCGGATTGCGTTCATATTCCGGGCGGCTTCATCTGCTTGCCTATATAAACTATGCATCATTAATATGGTTATTACTGCATTTGATCTTTTAATATTACTGTTTTAAATATATTAAGGCACTAAGTGTTTTTACAACGTTTTGTCGCACTGTTTAATGATTGAAATATTACTGCGGGTGCTTAATATGGATTGCAAATGGCCAAAACTTGCATTTGTTCACATACCTTTGTTTTATTCTTTTGAGAGGTGATCTAAATATTTGTGGCTGACAAACAGATGGAAAATTGACAGGCTTGTGCTGCAGTTCTATGGATGTTTTGCCCTCCAAGTCTTCGAGCCGGTCATGTGACTGAAAGCTATGAATTACTAGAAAGAAGTAGGTGTAGGCGCCTTCAGCTTTCACTGGAGTTCCTTCACACTGACTGAAAGGGTCTCTGAGTGATCAGCTCAGGAGCGCTGATATGGAGCCATACTGCCCCCCTGTGGCTACAATATAACTGCATTTGCTCTGCCTAACCATAATGACAGACTGATTGAAGTTGTAGGCATAGTAAAGCAAACAAACTAATTGTTATGAGTGTTTTGGAGGCATTTTGATTTTAATAGCCCACATATACTGCTGCACTGAAATATTTATAATTGTGTTAGTTGTATAATTTTTGGAATAAACAATAAACCATGGCTTGACCATTCGAATTCTGTAACAACTAGGCCTATACAAACGGTTTTTAATTTTATGATTTGGTTGCCACTTAACCTTTGATGAGACCTTGCAAACCATTTTTTTCATACAGGAGTTTGTGTCAACACTGTACACTGTGACATTCAGACTGTATTAAAATGCACCTCTCGTAGCTTGAGAACATGAAAAAACTGAGATGTGATGCGATAGCCAGCTGACGCATATGAATATATAAAAACAGCCAAAGTTGATTTATAATATTAAGCAAGAATTCATAGATTACTGATGTGTGTGATTTTTAATGTGTGATTTTAATGGGGGTTTTTTTCTCCCCATTTTGTTTGTGTATGTTTTTAGGTTTATGAGACAAAAGTACCCGCTATTGCCCTGCGTGTATGAAGACAAAGCCCTTGATAAGTTGAAGTGGACCAGAAGATGTTAAAGAAATGATAGCTGCACCGGAATTACAAACAGAGTTTCATTACGCTCAGTGAGTGCACAGACACACAGGAGTAATAAATACGGATTGTGTGTATGCATGCGTTCACACGTTCACCTTCACTCTGATAACATTGATCTGTTTGTGTGAACAGGGACACTGACACCCGATTCTCATCAGACACTGATTTCGATGATCCTGATGGGAGGAATGTCTTTGCTGGGAAAGGGAAGGTATGAGTGGACTCTGACATTTTTGATTATCAGAAAGCCTTTACAAGATTCCACAAGGTTCCTTTAAATGGCCCTTTACCCCTTTTCCATGGAAATGGTTCTGGAGCTAATAATTGGCCAGGGCTCGTGAACCTTTCATGACTTAAGATTGTGACTTAAAGGAATAGTTCACTTAAAAATGAAAATTTGCTGAAAATTTACTCACCCTCAGGCCATCCCAGATGTAGATGAGTTTGTTTCTTCGTGTGAAAATAATTGGAGAAATTTAGCTTTACATCACTTGCTCACCAATGGATCCTCTGCAGTGAATGGGTGCCGTCAGAATGAGAGTCCAAACAGCTGATAAAAACATCACAGTAATCCATGTGACACTTTGTTTTTAATGCATCAAGATGTTTTTAACATGTTTTTGAGCAAGTAATATGATGCTAAATTTCTCCAAATCAGTTCAAGTGAAGAAACAAATCCATCCATATATTGAATGGCCTAAGGTGAGTACTTTGTTGACAAATTTTCATTTTTGGATGAAAAAAGTTTATTACAGTGTGTTTATAAAACAATTTTAAGATATATTAATTTTATTTATCATCTTTGTAGAAGCTGCTTGTGATCGATATTATTTAAATAAATATTTAATTCAGTAACAATTATTTGTTACTGATTCGCACATGATGTTTGGCTGTTCTACAATCGCTGAATGTAGCCATTTTTAACTTGTGGAGAGTTTGATCCAGTTCGTCAGTGTTGACCTGTGTTGTCACTCTGCTTCAGGCGAAGAAAGGAAAGAAGGGCCCTGGAGAGAAGGGGAAAGGAGCGGGGAAAGGGCCTGGACGCATGAACGGTCACCACCAGGAAAACGGCATGGAAAATGTCATGCTTTTTGAAGTGGTCAGGCTGGGAAAGAGTGCCATGCAGGTCAGTGAGCATATTACCGGCTTTTACACTGCCCTCTGTCTCGCTCTGGCATTCACATCTTAAATTCCCTCATGTGGGTTTGTGGCTTCTGGAAGGATTTGAGTGTTGGCAGGAGAATATGCAGACTGATGTACCGCTGTGTAGTTGAGCAGATTTTGACCTTTGTGAGATTTCTGCTCTCCTCTTTTGCAGTCGGTCGTTGATGACTGGATTGAGTCCTACAAACACGACAGAGACGTCGCACTTCTTGACTTGATCAATTTCTTCATCCAGTGCTCTGGCTGCAAAGGTTTGAATGTCATTTCTCATGTGATCTGATTTGCGCTCGTAGAGAATAAATGCTGTATGACAGACATAATCATGATAGTTACAGGGATAGTTTAAAATTAAAAGTATTTCATTGTTTATTCATAACTATATCATTCCAGTCTGCATAATTTTTTTTTGTGGAACAATAAAGAAGATATTCTGAAGAATGTTTGCACTGCTGCCTTTCATATAATGAAAGTGAATGGGGACTAGGGTTATCAAGCTCCAAAAAGACTTAAAACAATGATAAAAGTGGTTCTCATGTTATATTCAGTCCATATGATGGCTTTGTGTGAGGAGCAGACCAAAATGTAAGCCCAGGTCATTACTCTTTAAAAATCTGGCCTTGAAAAGCTTGTTTGAATGTTATGGTAGACGTGAACTCTACATAACTGCAGCACACGCTTATAATAAACAATTTTATCGTCTTGGATTCTAATATAGTTATTGTAGATATCATAGTTGTCATAATAGTTACCGTTCTTGTTGTGAGACTGGGCCTGAAGTTGCATTATATGGAAAAAAATAATTGCTTTCTGCTAAATAATTCTGTGTTCTATGAAAGAAAGAAATAATGACCGAATTTTAATTTCTGGCTAAAGTGTTCTTTTAGCAGTGCATTTTCATCTTAAAAAAAAAAAAAAAGCTACACATAAATGAATCGGCTGGTGCAACATAAACTTGGTACACTTTTAAGTCCTGAGCTAATTATAAACACATCAGTTTTGTTTCTTAATGGTATTACTTTTTCAAACATACCAAACTTTTAAAGTCTTATTTTGAGTGTTATTTTTGCAGGTGGTGTCACTGGTGAGATGTTCCACAACATGCAAAACTCTGAGATCATCAGGAAGATGACAGAAGAGTTTGATGAGGTAAATTCACGCTTCAACCTTGAACATGATTTTCGAGAACATGTTTCATCACCCACTAGAGTGTTCTTTTAATTATTTTATGCTCACACTAACCAGTGAGAGTTGATGTTATTGCAGGACAGCGGTGATTACCCACTCACCATGGCCGGGCCGCAGTGGAAGAAGTTCAAGTCTAGTTTCTGCGAGTTTATTGGCGTGTTGGTGCGGCAGTGTCAGTACAGCATCATCTATGACGAGTACATGATGGACACGGTCATCTCACTGCTCACCGGACTCTCTGATTCTCAAGTCCGAGCCTTCAGACACACCAGCACACTGGCAGGTCAGTATCTCTTCTGCTTTGTAAATCTGAACTTTGTTTTGATTAGTCCAAATAAAGCGTTATGTTTTTTTCCCCATAGCTATGAAACTGATGACGGCCCTCGTGAATGTAGCTCTGAACCTCAGCATTAACATGGACAACACTCAGCGGCAGTACGAAGCAGAGAGGAACAAGATAATTGGCAAGAGGGCCAACGACAGACTAGAGCTCCTGCTTCAGAAACGCAAGGAGGTGAGTGTTATCCGAGACAGAGATGCGGCATAGGTCTGAATAAATTCTGCATGTTGGCATTGTCTTAGAGCAACCATGAAAGCTGAAAGGGGAAGAGTGAATAAATAAAGCCTTCAGAGGAACAGGGGATTCATTGCGCCCTTCCCTGTGGAGAATCTCTTCCCTTTGCGTGATTCTGCCAGGTCACTGCAGCGTTTGCTGCTTTCCTTCCAAACACCTACGCCTCTGTTGGCCAACAGCCACAAAAACGCACGACCAACCAAACACTCAGCACATTTCATCTGTGCTATTTCCCCCTACTTTAAAGCTGAGTAAACATGGATAAAGTCATTTAAAAAAGATCCTATTCTAATGAGAAGTCTGTGTTATTGTGGGCTCTCGGGTCAACCGCAGCGCTCTCGCACTGTCAGTGCCCGTGGGGTTAGAGCTCGCCTGAATTGCTGTGAGTACGAAAGCTGTGTTTAACTGGCGCTGTAAATTAACTGGGTTATGTAATGACAGGCCCTGCTGTTATGCCATCTGCGTGTGTGAGTGTGAGGTTTTATTGATGTCTTGATAGTATTGAGTTAAACCACGTGGACACACACAGAAGTTGAGTTGTAATATAGTTAGCTTAGAGGAATATGACCGCATCTGTGGCATGCTCTTGAGTTATCTGTGCAGGAAAACACTTATAGGTGAAATCATTGGAGCAAACATACAGCTCTCACCCCGTAGATCAAAAACTGTTTTTGTTTGTTTTTACAAACTGGGGTATGAATTGGTTTCTGTATAGTAGCAGATTGTGTCCTACAACACTGGTTGTAAACCTGTCTGACTCCAACAATGCAATATTCAAATACCCCCTCCCTATGCAGGATAGTAGGTTTCTTCAGTATATCAGCTTTAATGAGAGAAACATTTTTTTAATTTACAGCAATTAGGAGTGTCCATAGATGATAACACACCTCTCCAGATAAAAAAAAAAGTGTTCTAAAGTAACATTAATAATTATTGCAGTTAATTCATTTTATTTGATTTCTAATTGAAATTAAAATAATTACAATTCAATTTTTTTTTCCAGCTCTAAAAATAACACTTTCAAAAACTTGGACTACCTCATGTCCAGGTTTTCTGTGGAAACCTTGGTTCATAAAAAAATGTTTATTAGGGGGTGAATTAAGAAATATCCCTATGATCTTTTGTTGTTTTGTTTTATATTAATGCAAGAGGGTTTGAGGTTCTAAACATTGACACCATTTCTGAAAGGATCACACCAAAGATGGCTATCATGTTGCACTGTGATCAGATTATGGTCACATATGGCCATACAGTAAGCATAGAAACCACTAAATGAATCACATATTTGTGAGCCCTTGACCTGAAAAAAGAGAGCTGTTATTGCAAATTATAGAAACTGATAATAAATAGAAACTAGAAAGGAAATCAAGAGGCAGAAGTGAGCAGAATCTCAAATATAAGAAATACTTTTGATTTTTAGACACAAACTCTTGACTAGTAATGCAGCTTACCATCATGTGCTGCCTAAAGCAATGATTATAATGAACTGTTGTTTTCTTTACAGTTGCAAGAAAATCAAGATGAGATTGAAAACATGATGAATGCCATTTTCAAGGGTGTCTTTGTTCACCGATATCGGTATGCACACTCATAAACGTTGATTTTCTACCAGCACAAGCTCTCATCACAAATTACTACTTCAGTGATTACTCAATAATACTCTGAAATGTTCCTGTGGGTGTCTGTGGGCTTAAGTGCTTCTGTTATTCCTCCTCAGTGATGCAATAGCAGAGATCCGGGCGATCTGCATCGAGGAGATTGGCGTGTGGATGAAAATGTACAGTGATGCATTTCTTAACGACAGCTATCTTAAGTACGTGGGCTGGACCATGCACGACAAGGTGAGGATTCAATCGTTTTTCTCTCCCGTTTCTTTAATCCCTAAATATAGTGTCAGATGGAGTTAGTCACGACACAATCCTGGAGTTGGAAGGAAATGTAACTCTCTTCCTCTCTCCCTCTCAGCAAGGTGAGGTGCGTCTGAAGTGTCTCACGGCTCTGCAGGGGCTGTACTATAACCGCGAGCTCAATGCCAGGCTGGAGCTCTTCACAAGCCGCTTCAAGGTGAGAGAACCATCTGGGGAAGCTTCTCATCCAATACAGAGCAAACGATGAAATTAGTCATCAGAATACTCCTCTGTGAAATTAAGAGTGTAATTGAATGGGTTAGTGTATTTTTATGTATCTTTTCAATATTTTAAAATAAAATGGATTGTTTGTTTGTCTTCATCAGGACCGCATTGTGTCCATGACGCTGGACAAGGAGTACGACGTTGCAGTGCAAGCAATAAAACTGCTCACACTGGTGTTACAGTATGTATAAAACAGACACTTACTGCTATAGCAGTTTCTTGCATCATACCAAAATGTATTATATTTTATTTGAGTTATATGTTGGTGAATTGAATTGAATATGAGTTAGAAAGACCACAGAATATTGAGTACCACAAAATATTGTCAAGACAACACATCAAGTTTTTTGTTTTTGAAAGAAATTAATACTTTTTTCCAGCAAGGAAGGACACATTAAACTGATCAAAATGATAGTTAAGACATTTATAATGTTACTAAACTTTACTAAAAAATACTGAACTTTCTGTTCATCAAAGAATCCTGAACAAATGTATCAGTTTTCAAGCAAATATTTGTTTGTTGTTGTTTTTTAACATAGATAATAATAGGAAATGTTTCTTGAGTAGAGAGCATATTAATCAATAAATAAATTTTGGAATAATTCATATTTTTAGTATCCTTCAGTGCATATTAGAAGGATCATGTGACACTGAAGAATGAAATTTCAGCTTTGCCATCACAGGATTAAATTACATTTTACGAACATTTTAACCATTTTAAATTGTGGTAGTATTTTTGTTTGTTTGTTTTTTGTTTTGTTGTGTAGTAATATTCCATAGTACTTTTTTCTTTACTGTATTTTTTATCAAATAAGTGAAGACTTTGTGAGCATAAAATACTTTTTTTTTTTTTTTTCATCCCAACCCAAAACTATGGAACGGTAGAGTAGTATAATTCACAATTTTAATGAGTCACTTAAAAAGATTAATGAACCCATGAGATATTTGATTCAGTCAGATTGTTCGTTAAATTATCTCACTGAATCTTTGATAAACTACAAGTCTTTACTGTTCACTTCAAATTAAATAAGTGTACCTGTAGTACTAGCTGTGATAATCAGCATGACAGGATGCTCATATGTTGTTGTTTGTTATTACAGTAGCAGTGATGAGGTTCTGACTGCAGAAGACTGTGAGAGTGTTTACCATCTAGTGTATTCAGCCCACCGACCCGTCGCAGTGGCAGCAGGAGAGTTCCTCTTTAAGAAGTGAGTTTCACTCACCGTCACTCACTCATTCATGTCCCATGAAGCTTCAACCTACCGAAAGTCATAAAACAAAACTATTCACTGCATCTAGACTGAGTGGAGACATGAATGAATAGACATGGTGATTAGACAACAATAGTTTGAGGTAAACTGAATAGCTTTACGTTTTCATCTTTGTTCGCAGACTGTTCAGTCATCGAGACCCTGAAGATGACAGCATGCCCAAGAGACGAGGCAGACAGAGTATGAATGCCAACCTCATCAAAACCACTGTCTTTTTCTTCCTGGAGAGTGAGGTGAGCTAACATCAACAATATCATTGCGAATCAAGTGTCAGTAAATAAAAGCAGTGCTGTTTGTATGATGCAAGTTGAAGGGTGCAGTTTCTGTGCAACTAATGTCACCAAACAGAATTGCAAAAAATGTTGATTTTCAAACCGTTTTCTCAAATGCCTTCTGCATACATTGTGCACCGTGGTGTTTCAGTTTTCTTCCATTGTAGATAAATGAGGGAAAATACAATTCAATATTGAAGCATGGTAGTCTTGAAAGTTTCTATTTTGAATCTTATATAATTATATTCTAATTTTATTTTTAGTTTTCTGTTTGAATATATCTTGAAACGTAATTTATTCCTGTGATGCAAAGCTGAATTTTCAGCAGCCATTACTCAGTGTCACATGACCCTTCAGAAATTATTCTAATGCATTGAAGGATAATTTTTATTATAATTCTAAGATGCTATAAGGTGTTATGTTTTGATCCTCAGCTTCACGAGCATGCAGCTTACCTAGTGGACAGCATGTGGGACAGTGCAGCAGAGATCCTGAAGGACTGGGAGTGCATGATCAGCCTACTACTGGATGAGCCATTGCCTGGAGAGGAAGGTCTGACCCAGTGACACAGCACCAGAACATACAGGGTTGACTTTTACCTGCTAAAGGAAGTGAGAGATAAATTACCTTTGTATGTGTTTTCCAGCTCTGACGGACAGACAGGAGACGGCTCTGATAGAGATCATGCTGTGTACCATCCGTCAGGCTGCAGAGTGCCATCCTCCTGTGGGCAGAGGCACAGGCAAGAGGGTAAGACTTGATGCCACATGCATCGGCCAGACCTTGAAGACGGATCCCTGCTCTCACACGTTACCTCTTACATGCTGTTCTCAATTCTCACTTGATCTTGTTTCAAGGTTCTGACAGCGAAGGAGAAGAAGACTCAGCTTGATGACCGGACGAGAATGACGGAGCTCTTCGCTATAGCATTGCCAGCTTTACTTGCAAAGGTTAAAGCCTATTGAAATCAAAGGCAACATGAAATGGTATTTACAGAGCATTGAAACTGATAAATATATATATTTTTTTTCTTTCTTGCAGTACTCTGTGGATGCAGAGAAAGTGACAAATCTGCTGCAGCTGCCCCAGTTTTTTGATCTGGAGATCTATACCACAGGGCGTTTGGAAAAGGTCTGAACCGCATATCGTTTAAACAGAATAAATGCGCTGAATGAACACCCGATTATTCACAATAGGCTGATTGTGCAGCATATAAATTAAAGCCGGTTTTCTCTCTCATAGCACCTGGATTCATTGTTAAGACAAATCCGAGAGATTGTGGAGAAGCACACGGACACAGATGTGCTCGAGGCTTGCTCTAAAACCTACCATGCCCTGTGCAACGAGGAGTTCACTATCTTTAACCGAGTGGATATTGCCCGTAGCCAGCTCTTGGATGAGCAAGTGGATAAATTTAACAGGCTACTGGAGGACTTCCTGCAGGAGGTGAGGACAGCGGGCGGCTCAGGGTGGAGCGTCTGGAGCACTTTGATGTTGCTCTGTGTTTGCATAGGAACAGCAGTTTGGCAAGAGTATCTATGTATATGCTTCCACTGTTACACTGTGTGTCTGTTTTTCTGGAGGTTTCTCTGTACGGATGAATCCGACTAGTGCACTATCTCTAACTTAACTACTACACTAGTAGATATATTTAAGTCCTTATTGTTCAGAGCTACCTTAAGACAGGCCTGTAGACTACTCTGACTAGTCAGTTATGGAAGTAGTAAATAAAATGCATCCATAGTACTCAATTCCAACTGTTTCTTTCTGAATGCTGCCGCAATGTATCAGAAGCTTGGAAAGTTTCAGTTGTCTATATATAACCTGTTTCCTCCACAGGGTGAAGACCCAGATGAAGATGATGCTTATCAAGTTCTTTCCACACTGAAGAGGATCACAGCTTTCCACAAGTAAGGCTTCCCGTCTCATCTCTCTGATTATTATGAAGTGTTTCTCTCTAACAGATTATCACTTTAGGTAATTTCTTACTTTTTTAACACTTCCTTTTTCTGTTTAGTGCTCATGACCTTTCCAAATGGGACCTCTTCACCAGCAACTACAAGTTACTGAACACTGGTATTGAAAACGGAGACATGCCTGAGCAGGTATTCATGTGCATATGAAGAATTATTGAGGTAGTGCCTGACAGCGCCACACTTTAATGACATTTTTAATGACTTTTTCTCTTAATTAAAACTTTATAGACAACTATTTTGAATCTATCTTTCAATATTGTGGATTGTTTTTCCTCTTAATTTTGACTTAATATCTCTCACAATTGTAACATTTTGTCTTTATATCTCACAATTAAGGCTTCACTTTTCACCGTTCATTTGTTATAGTTGCAGTTTCACAGTTCTTGTAATTGTGACCATTTTATATAATTGTGGCTAATTTTTGTGATTCACTTGTTTTCTCACAGTTAGAACTATATTTCTCGGAATTGCAACTTGGCAATCTCACAGTGTGATTTTGTTTCTTACTCTTTACTCTAAGGCAAAAACAGGCTTGCATAGAAATAAAACCTCACAATCAACTGAAACTTTGCTTTTGCCTCATGATTGTTGGGTAATGTTACTGCCTCTCTGGATGTTTCAGATTGTCATTCACGCACTGCAGTGCACACATTACGTCATTCTTTGGAGCTTAGCCAAGGTCTCTGAGGGCACTTCTAAAAAGGTAGCTCCCATTCATATGATTTGTATGCATGCATCCTTTCCCCTTATTTGCTGTGGTTTGTTGGATGTCAACAATGCATTTGGTCTCTGTAGGAGGACATGTTGACTCTGAGGAAGCAGATGAGGGCGTTTTGTCTAATGTGCCAGCGTTACCTAACCAGCGTCAACACTGCCGTCAAAGAGCAGGTCTGTATCAAAGGTCACAACGAGTCATTATGCTACAAACAGCCTGTACCTGACTGTATGTTCTCCCTCAGGCCTTCACCATCCTCTGTGACCTGCTGCTGATCTTCAGCCATCAGATCATCTCAGGGGGGAGGGAAGCTCTCGAGCCCCTAGTATACACACCCGAGGCGTCCCTGCAGTCCGAGCTTCTCAATTTCATCCTGGACCACATCTTCATTGACCAGGATGAAGACAGCAACAGCACAGGTCTATCACAGCTAATGGCATAATGACTTTCAGTTAGAGCTAACAGGCTTTGCTGAATGGATTTAGCGCCCCTGGCTGTTTAATGTTGAATGCTAACACTAAGACAACACAAAGGAAATTGGCTTTAGAAGCGTTTAATTGATTTAGAGATTAGAGATTCTAGCAACACTTAATCCTGTTGTGCACTGAGCTTTAGCTGACGTAGACTGACTAGTTTAAAGGGAGAGTTGTTGGACAAATCAACTTGCGATTGCTTCATTTGTTGTCAAGAAGCAGTGTTTAAAAAGTGACCACTAGAGGGAGGCAGTTTTCCTTCTAGTGCATGAGCAGTATTTAAATGTCTGTTCTCCTTTATTTTCGAACAGATGGGCAGCAGGATGATGAAGCCGGAAAAATCGAAGCTTTGCACAAGAGGCGAAACCTGCTGGCCGCATACTGCAAACTCATTATCTACAATGTAGTTGAGATGAACACTGGGGCAGATATTTTCAAGCAATACATGAGGGTGAGTCTGTTCATTCTTTGAATATGCATTTTCAGATCATTAGTTTTCTCTATCGCTCACTTAAACGCAAGTTTTTCTGTTTCCTGTCCAGTATTACAATGACTACGGTGACATCATCAAGGAAACTATGAGCAAGACGAGACAGATCGACAAAATCCAGTGTGCAAAGACACTCATTCTGAGTTTACAGCAGGTTAGTGACTATACGTTTTCATATCTGCCATCAAAACGGGTTTTACTCGCAGGTTTCTGACTTGTCTTTCTCCCTCTGTTGAGTGCAGCTGTTCAATGATATGCTGTCAGATATGGGACTCAGCTTTGACCGCTCATCCTCAGCTTTCTGCGGCATTAAAGAACTCGCTCGACGCTTCTCTCTGACTTTTGGTCTGGATCAGCTCAAAACCAGAGAGGCCATTGCCATGTTACACAAGTAAGCTCCCATTCAGTTCCTCTTGGAGGAAAAACCAATTGTGTGTGGAGTTACACCCCATGTTGCTTTCTCTTTAAAGGGATGGTATCGAGTTTGCCTTCAAAGAGCCCAATCCTCAGGGGGAGGGACATCCTCCTCTCAACCTGGCTTTTCTTGACATTCTCAGCGAGTTCTCATCCAAACTCATGCGTCAGGACAAACGGACTGTGTAAGCAAACGTTTATTGATCTCAGCATGTGTATTTATAGTTGTGTAACGATCATTCATTAGCTGTTGGATCTAATGTTGGTCCTTTCTCTCTTTTCCCAAAGGCACATGTATTTGGAGCGCTTCATGACATTTCAGATGGCCCTGCAGAGAGAAGACTGCTGGCTGCCGCTCATCTCTTACAGGAACTCACTGCAGGCAGGGGGTGATGATGACACAATGTCTGTGGTCAGTGGCATCAGTAGCCGAGGCTCCTCCGTCAGAAGTAAAAAAGCTAAGCCTGCCACTGGCAAGAGGAAATTACCAGAAGGTAAAACAATTTGAATTCAAGAAACCAGACAAGTAATGTATTAAATGTGACCGAATAACTTTAATTAATAGATTGTGCACTATAACGCTAAACATTTTTTAAGGACATAAATCATGTTAGTTTTCATTCATTTTGTCGGCATAGAATGAAAATGTTGTAAATGCATGCTACAGAACTTATTGTGAACAAACCATTTATGTGTATATTTTTTTTTACCCGGCAATGTTTGTTTTATAACTTGATGTTCCAGTGACAGCGTTGGGCTTCTCTCTGGTGACATATGGAGGACTTCTCTTTAGTCCTCTTAAAGGGATAGTTCACCCAAAATTGAAAATTCTGTCATTTATTCCCCCTCAAGATGTTTCAAACATGTCTGACTTGCTTTTGTCTGCTGAACACAAAGATATTTTAAAGAATGCTGGTCCCCATTGCCATACTGATAGTATGAACGAACAATACTCCCCAAAATCAATGGGGACCAGGAACTTCCTAATTTCCTGATAGAATTTTTATTTTTGGGTGAACTATCGCTTTAAACCCACCCTGCAAATGTAGGTGCCACATAAGAAAAATCCAATCAACAGCCTATGCACAGAACCTTGCCTTACTTTTTTCTTTTTCTATAATCTATTACACTCAAATGTACATCACAATATGGAAGAAACTATCAGCCACTATTTCCATTTTATCGCGACTTTAGCGATTGTCCTGCTGTCTGTGTGCAGAGGAGAGCAGCAGCAGCAGTGAAGTATGGATGAGCCGTGAGCAGAGCATGCAGACGCCCGTCATGATGCCTTCACCCCACCTCACCTCCACCGTCATGAGAGAGCCCAAACGCCTGTGTCCTGAGGAGAGCTACATGGGGGTGTACACCATGACCCCCGATCAGCAGCAGCAGCACGCACACCCTCAGACTCCTCAGCCACAGCACCACCAAACAGCCATAGACTACAAGTAAGAGCGTTGATGCTCAATTTTAATGAGTTTCTCGTGTTTGTGGCACTTTCAGATGTTGTACAGCTAATTTCAGCCATGAAATGTTCATGCATGTCTGCTGCTTAGTGTAGTCTGGGACTGAAGGGATATAGTGAGGTGTGATGTTATTGTTTTACAGCACACAAGTCACTTGGATGTTAGCACAGAGACAGCAGCAAGAGGAAGTGGCCAGACAGCAGCAGGAGAGAGCTATGAACTACGCCAAATTAAGGAGCAACCTTCAGCATGCTATGTAAGGAAACTTTACACTGCGTTTCATGTTCGGTGGGTAGATGCAGTTTGAATGCACACAAAAACAAGTTTTTTACAAATATGGTGCCATTGGTCTTCCGATGCTTGCAGTCGTCGAGGAACAGGCCTTATGGAGGATGATGAGGAGCCCATTGTGGAAGATGTGATGATGTCATCAGAAGGCCGAATTGAGGATCTCAATGAAGGCATGGACTTTGACACCATGGATATTGTGAATGCATCTTTTTTAACTTAAAGACAACTTTGTTATGTATAGCCCTTTTGTAATAGTGAGTAATCTGGTGTAAAGTAGTAATTTATAAGCAGGTTTTTGCTCATCATAGTGAGTATTGATATATTTTATTCTTCTTATCTAATATGTGAAATGGAGGAAAACCTCCAGTTCTTTATATCTAGTATTTAGTTTCCTTTTATTTCACCCTTAAAACTCATGACATACAACATGAAACCTAAATCAAAACACTCTGAGCACCCCGATTTATTACTGCCTTTGGTGCATTTTTTATGTTTTGGTGCAATTTCAGTGACACCATCAGTGATTGGTGTATGTTAATTACCTCAACCATTCAGTGGCCCTGTTGCTGTCTTTGCACCAACAGAACTGTTTTCATGTGCCAACTGCTCTAGTAAATCAGGCGCGTAGAATCCCAGTCGGTCCGTGGAGATGCACAGAAAGGACTGCAATTCTTCCGCTGAGTCACGTGGCTTATCCAAAGATCAGATCTGCTCGCTTGTCCCTCTAAAATCTAAGATCAAGCAAAGAAGAGGAAATCTCTCCAGTAGTGCCATTGTGTTGTCTCTAATAAAACAAAACTTAGTGTAGTATGTCTGGTGGAGATTTTCTTCTCCCTGATTAGAGCTATGTAGACATCTACATTTAAATAAAGTTCTATATAAATATATAAATTGGTGCTGATTTTATAATTGTGCTTTTTTTTTTCTCTTATTTTTAAAGCTCCAACTTAGAGTTAAAAGGTTTTGAAATGTATAAGAACATGTCTAAACATGAAAGTGTGTAGCCATGCAGCAAGTCAAGTTTTGAGATTTTATTTTTATTTTGTGTGTGTATTGTTTTGAATCTTTTTTTTTTATTTTTTTTTTTGGGGGGGGTCAGTCTTAAGAGCTTTTTAGGTTTCACCTTTTTCCTAATTGTAAATTAGTTTGGTTGCAAATCATGGACAGAACGGTTTCATTCAGCTCTAGTTTGTTTTTCCCTGATATGAAATATTCAAAGTGTAACAATAACATCCCGTGAGATCCTTTAATGTTACAGCATTGCATTCGGCAGCTCTATGAAGCTTGATTAATACATTAACTTATATTGCAGACATATGCGTTTTGTCTGGGGTATACTTTTTAATCATTCCATGCCTTGGCCTTAAAACATCCTTGTTTTAAAAATGAAAAGAAGGTGGTAGTCAAGCATAAATCTTCCATGTTGAGGTACATTGAAAACTTTTTGCATCAGAAAAGGAACAGTGCATTTCTATAATGGCATGAGTGTAATTATTTAAAAGAAGGTGTGCAGACAGATTTTAAATTTATGAAAGTAAATGCCCTTCGGCTTAAATTGTCTTCTGTTCCTCACCACTACATTAATTAAACTGCTGAATAGATTGTGTGATCTGGTAATAAGCTTATGCTAATGCCATTTGTCTTTATGATTTTGATCTCTAGGAATAGACTTTTGTGTAAATGAAAGAGTATATTACCGTTCAAAAGTTTGGGGCATGTATGTTTTTTAATGTTTTTGAAAGAAGACTGTTATGGTCATCAAGTCTGCATAGATTTGGTCAAAAATACAGTAAAAGCAGTAATATTGTGCAATTTAAAATAACTGTTTTCTGTTTTGATATATTTCAAAATGTATTTTATTAGTGTGATGCAAAGCATCATTACTCCAGTCATCAGTGTCACAAGATCCTACAGAAATAGTTTTAATATGCTGATTTGCTGCTCAAGAAACATTTATTATAAACACTGAAAACAATTGTGCTGCTAAATATTTTTTTGGAAACCAAACTTTTCAGCATCTACTATATTTTAAATAAAAAATAATCCAGTTTGAAACGGAATCTTTACTGTAACTTGTGATCTTTTTAATGCATCATAGCTGAATAATGGTTAATAAAGAATGAATTTCTTTCAAAACAAAAATCTTACTGACCCCAGCTTTTGAATTTTCTGTCTATGCATATTTATATGTAATGTGATTTGTCACATTTTGTAAATAACTAAGACTTCTTTTAAGCACATCTCATCCTTACCGTCTGCGCTTTCGTATCTTGCAGCCCCCATCGAAGAATCGACGAGAGCGATCGGAACTGAAGCCCGACTTTTTCGACCCTGCCTCCATCATGGATGAGTCTGTAAGAAGCACTCATTTCCTGGGTTATGATGCTTTTCAGCGGTAACTCGTTCACTCCGACACTAAGGACGTGAAAAAGAGATCACCACTAGATGGCACTAGCAGGAGTGATTTCAGATAGTTTGAATTGCCCTTGTGCAAAAAGACAGAGAGGGGAGAGAGCATCTCACTATAATAAATACTAATCAGACCCATCTGGACTGATGATTGAATGAAACGTTTGTTTGGTAAGTCTAAACACTGAACTGAATTTGAACATTTTCTCTTGTAGGTCCTGGGAGTGCCCATGTTTTAAGATTATAATTGGAGGCATGTGAAGAGAAGAGACGTTTTGTGTGAATTCACATTGATTCTCTAAAGAGAATTCAATTCAATGGAGTGATTGGCATCCAAATCAGCTCGTACCATTGACACTTACTAAAACGCAGAAAGGATAAAGGAGCAATTCAAAGTCTTTGCAATCGTTGTGTGGGCTTTCCCTGATCGTGCAAAACAGTGACGGTAGATACTGAATACCATGGAATCTTGGACCGTCCTAGCCATACATGAGTTTATGATAAAAAAAAAATATATATATAGCTGAATAGATTGTGTAAATATACATGCATTTAAACGTAAAGCTTAATTTTCTAGTGCTTTTTTTCCTGTTAATGTTTAAAAACAGATTATCACTCTTCCCTGTTCAGAGATATAAACTCACACATAACCGTTTCCCTGTCCTCTGCCATCCACTGTAATGTTTCTGATTTGAAGTTTTTTTTTCGAATAAAAGTAAACAAATCTTTCTTGTGTGTTTGTCTGATTTTACACGATTCATTTATGCAGATGCTTTTACTCAAAGTCGCAAGCAAATATACTGTTACTAATTTATTCTAAGTGTTTTTAAAAACTTGAAATCTAAAATTAGCTGCAGTGGTTAAACGAGACACTTTCCTATTATGAAGAAAATTGATTAATTGCATATATGAATATTTCAAATAGTTATTACTATTGTTAATGCAATAGTAATAGAGTGTAGCATACTGACTACTAATACACTGCTTAAAACTAATTGGTCAGAATGTGTAGTTTTACTAGTTCACTAGCTAATAAAAAAAACTTGTAATCCTTCAAAAATGTGTAAGTGTTCAATAATTCAATGTTGTATATAAAAAGTTATTTATATTTTAACTTTATATTATGCATTTATATTATTTTACGAACAAATCTAAACATAAAAATATATTTTCTACTGAGATTTGATGTAGTGACACACTTTTTGCACTGTGATTACGTAATGACGTCATCACGCAATGACATCACAATGTCATTTAGCAACTTTTAGCAACAAATCGACCTTCCTTTAGCAACTTCCCCTGAAAATTAGTTGGCAACAGTGTATCAGGCTCTTTTAAGAGCAGCGTTAGATTATGGTTGCCTAGCATATATGTCAGCATCAGAATCAAACCTTAAAAAACTTGATGTGGAACAGGCACAGGCACTTCGGATTTGTACTAGAGCGTTTAAGTCATCACCAGTATCTGCATTACAAGTTGAGACAGGAGAGATGCCTTTACGTATTAGGAGGATCAAGATCATGCTGGCGTATTGGATAAATCTACAAGGGCATAGCGGAGTACATCCCACAAAGGCCATCTTACAAGATTGTTCAGAACATAGTAAAAGTAATTATTACAGTTTCGGATGGATAGGAAATGCAAAAGCACAAAACGCAAGCCTCAGCCAGCTCCAAGTAAGCCCCATTGTGGCACTATCAACTGTGCCACCTTGGAAATTCAAAAAGCCATCTGTAGATATAAGCCTTCAACAAATGTTAAAAGAAAAATCTAAAATAATGCCACTGATTAAGTTGGTTTGCCAACCGCCAATAAAATTAAAAGAAGAAGAAGAAGCGTCTGCGCTATATTGGGCGGGCTTACTAGTTCAAAATTTCAGCGGCTGTGCAGCACTTGTTGACGTTCGAGCATATTGAAGTTTTAACACTTAAGTTGAACAAATTTCACATTTTGTATAGGTTTTTCCACAGTGTTTGAGTTTTCGACCTCTTTTGTCGGCCATGTCTTTCTCAAGAGCTCCATTAAAGAGATTTAACGAGCATGCCGGTAAGTTTCTCGTCTCCTCTCTATTAAGTTATGCGATGTTAACGTTAACTGAATCTGAGAGTAACTGTTATGTGCTTTAAACAGTTGAATTAAAATAACAGATAATTAAAGTGATATTAATGTAGTTATCTGCTTAGTTCTCACTGTCTAAACCCATTTCATAAAGCTCAACTTTATAATTTCATACAGTTATTAAACGGCTGTTTTCTTGCAGCTGCGATGGGTCAATTCTCTGCCAAAGTTGATCAAATACACAAACGTAATTGCACGCTGTGCAGTCATTTTCATAAAATCACAATCAAAAATCACATAATGAAGACTGATGCTGCTCATGTATTTCACACAGCTGAGAGGACACGTTAAGACATGTCAGCTGTCTCCCAGATATTGAGAGGTTCATATTAATAGCCTTTATTTATTGATGCTTGATATTTTTTTTCGTATCTTTAGGTTGTGCTCCTCCACCTGGTACATATGAGGTGAAGTCTGGTGATGTGAAAGGAACTGCATCATTTCATAAAGCAGAGCGCTTCAGATCAGCTCCAAAAAGTGAGAGCAGATTGTGTTTAACTGGCATTTGAGTTTACATTTTCATCTGTTGGTTGTAAATGAGAAGCTCTACCTTTCAATAATATCTACTTTCTTTTGAAAATGCTGATCAGCAGCGGTACCCCTGCCATCCCCCTCAAAAGAAGTGCCCATGTCTCCTGTACGGAGGACCATGTCTGTTGATGGTTTGGTAAGAGATGTACATGTAATTATTTGCTTGTGGTTCGACCATACCTGAAATATTAGTTAATTAAAAGATATACACAAAATTGAGTAAAGTATAAGAACACTTATTAAAACAGCTCTATTCTAACATTTACTTAACTTCATGCTGTGCCAAACCTGTACAAACAAAATTATTTTTAATTGTGTTTCAACTCTTTTTGTCCCTATAATGAAAGTCTAGAGCATAATGCACCCTCTTGACATTCGTTTTATGGACAGAAATATTAAGACATGTCTCAAAATATCATCTTTTGTGTTCCACAGAAGAAAATAGGTCCATACGACATGTGGTTGAGTAAATTAGAACATTTTTGGCTGAACTTTCCCTTTTTAAAATTACTCCTTGTTATACTGGTTAAATATTGTTCCAGGGTGTGTCTTACTGCTAGACTAATTATTTTGTACAGTGTAAAGGAGTGGACTTGGTGAATCTTAAAGGGTTAGTTCACCCAAAAATTTAAATTAGCCCATAAATTACTCACCCTGAAGTCATCCTAGATGTATATGACGTTCTTCTTTCAGACGAATCCAGTCGGAGTTATATTAAAAATTGTCTTTGATCTTTCAAGCTCTATCGTTGTACTCAGCGGGAGTTGCAGTGCTTCGGTTCAAATGACGTGAAATAAAAAGCACCCTTCCACAAAAAAAAAAAAGTGTCTCACATGGCTCCGGGGGGTGAACAAAGGCCTCCTGTAGCGAATCGATGCGTTTTTGTAAGAAAAATATCCATATTCAAAACGTAATAATAACTTGAATCTAGCTTGCGCCAGCAGTTGTACACGGAAGCAGCTCCGGGCGGATGAAGTATGAGGTCAGCGTTGCGCATGCGCCGGTGCGTCTCGTGAAAACCAACGTTTGTTTACAGGATCAAAAGAAGCAAAGTTTCCTTACTTTAGCAAAGGAAAACAAGTCTCCTCTTGGCTTATATCGAAATCCTCCGACATTCTTCTTTACAAATCCTTGTTTTGTACTTCTAATTAGTGACCGTTGTTTTGTTTCGATCTCTCCGCGTGCGTCACTTCTGAGCGGCACATGCGCAACGCAGTCTCCTCTTGGCTTATATCGAAATCCTCCGACATTCTTCTTTACAAATCCTCGTTTTGTACTTCTAATTAGTGTCCGTTGTTTTGTTTCGATCTCTCCGCTGCCTTATACGTAATTCCCCCGGAACTGCTTCCGTTTAAAACAGTGAGCGTAAGCTAGATTCAAGTGATTATTACGTTTTGAATATGGATATTTTTCTTACAAATATAGGGGTAATTTCTTAAATATATAATTTTATTATAGAATTATATTATGTGACCAGTATTGCAGGTTAATGCAGGACTGGTTGGTTATTTTTCCAAGTTCTAACCCCTACATTATCCCTTACCCATTTCAAAACATAACAAGTGTTAGAGGTTTTATTTAATAGCCATGTGTTTTAAGACCTTTCAGATATCTAATAAAATGTTAATTTGGGTGAACACGTAGGCTCTCTTCACTTTTTCAGAATTATCAAAGTGTCTAAAAAACTCATTGACTATTTGTCAGTATTACTATTTGTCGGTCTGGTGTATTGGCCAATCATGCTATTTTACTTTTTTCTTTTCTTGTTGTTTTTTCCTTACATAGGCTGATGCATTAAGTTCCAAACAGGACAAAAATGGTTTCACACTTCAGAGGAAACATCAGAGACTACTAGAGAAAGAGGTAGATTTCAAAATGTCTTCAACATTTCCTTGATGGCCATTTGTTGCTTTGAGGCCTGATCGATTTCTATGGTCTCTTGTCCTCACCTTGACTGTCACTGCTAATGCTGGAGTATAGATCCGTTCTTTGGTGCAGCAGAGAGGAGAGCAGGACCGCAGGCTGCTGACCCTGGAGGAAGAGCTGAAGAAGTTGGAGTCTAAATTGCTTGTGGCTGTCAGAGAGAAGACCGGCCTCGCTGCCAGTGTGGCTTCTCTTGAGAGGCAGCTCGCGGAGTTAAAGAAAGCTAATGAGTTCCTGAAGACCAAGGTGACTAGTCTTTTTGTAGCAGTGTGTTTTCCAGTCTGTTTCTTAAGTAAAAGGCTTCACATAAACAAGTTTACTGAGGAATGTCTTGGCACTTTGATTTTCTCAGGTCTCTGCAGATATCACCAAGAAGAAGATCAATGCTCTTTCCATGGAGCTCATTGAGGCCAAAAATAAACTCGATGCCAAAGACAAGGTCCGTTATCTCAGTCGTTTTATACATGGAGAAGAGTTTGTGTAGCTTCAAGTTGCTCAGTGTAATTTTGGATTTGTGAACAGGAACTGAGCTTTCTTCAGATCAGCACAGAGGGGAAAGTAAAGGTCTTGGAAACAGACCTGGAGACTGCCAGAGCAACTTTTAGAGTTCTTCAGGAAAGGAACAAAGATCTTGGTAAGTTACCTTGAGAAACTATATGCTTGATATTGTATATTTTTGGATCGGTTCCATGTTCCAAAATCGATCTGATAAGTCTCCAGTGTCTCTATGCTCAAGTCAGACCATGTTCACAACAAAATATAATACTTGCTGAAAACTGCACAGAATATACTGCAAAAAATAAAGTGAAACTGAATTTTACACAGTAAGTGTTTCCAACAGTATTGTCTAATTTAGTGAGTGGAGTCTAGTTATCTTGGAAATACCAGTAGTTACAGTATATTGCATTTTCAGTCCAATTGTATGTAAAACGGTTAACTTTTAAAGAGTTAACCTAGTTGAATTTTAGTGAATTGTTTAATTCAGGCAGCTTAACAAATGATTCAGTATTCCCGGAAGATCCTGTGGAATTTCAGAGTTCTTTTTCTGATGTTAGATCGTATCAATGACAAAAATGCTAGTTTCTTCCGACAAGCCAGGAATATTGGATCCAGTCTCATTACCAGATCACTTCAGAAAGTTTAAAATTTGTCTGATACCCAAAAGGTTTAAGTCTTTGTCTGAAAAATCTTTATCAGTCAAGAGGTTGACAAGTGTAGGAGCAGGATATGAAGTTAATGCTGTTTAAAGTGTTTTATTAATGAATTTATTCATTAATTCTATTCAGAAAAGACATTTCATTAATCAAGACATGTTACAAAAGATTTCTATTTAAAATAAATACTGTTCTTTTGAACTTTCTATATATTAATCAAAAAATACTTACATGTATCATGCTTTCCACAAAAATATGAAGCATCACAACTGTGTTTCTGAACAGCAAGTCAGCACTGAAAATTCAGCTTTGCATCACAGGAATAAATTACATTTTAAAATGTATCAAGGTATTTTAAATTGTAGTAATATTTCACAATATTGCTTTTTACTCTTTTTGATCAAATAAATGCATCCTTGGTAAGATTTCTTTTGAACAGATCTGAACAAAAGCGTGTTTATATATTATTTTTTGTTTGTTTGTTTAGAAGTAAAATTGTGTAGGCATGTTGAAACCAAAGAGACATTTGACAGTTCAGACTTTGAGTCGCGTGGTTTAGAAACCATTTATGTATTTGTTTGAATGACATATGAAGAATTTGCTCACAAATTGGATGGCATTAGTGACTGAGCTAACATTTTTTTCTTATTACTATGTTGTTTTTCAGAAGCCCTTCATCAGGAGACAAGAGTCCAAAATGAGCAGCTCGAGAATGAAATGGATAAATTGCACAGTAAGTTTGCATACTAAGATTTGTTTGTTTTATGGTATCATCTGAGTTGGCTACATCTCTCTTTCATTTCCGTCTTCTTCAAATGAAGACATAATCCAGGAGCTGAGGGAGGAAATCAAAGCCCTGCAGAGTTACTTGGACTCAGCAAATGACGAGATTCAGGTATTGGTTTTGGTCAACAGAATTTTACTCTCCTAAGCCAGATGACATTTACTCACCGCTTAGGTTGAATCATCAGACTTTGAAGTGCTGCTTGGTTTGAGATAAGCTGTCTGTCTCACTCTCCAATGTCAAAGGATTTGCGGATTAAGCTCCAGGACAAATCCACCGTGGAGCGCCGGTTCTCTGATGCTCAAGAGAACCTCAGGTTAGAACTGTATGTGTTTTCATGTTGTTGTTGTTATTGTGTCAGTCCTCACATCCTCATCCAGCTCTATACGGGTTGTGCAGTGACGTGGAGAAAAAGTTGGAGAAATGTACCAGTGAGCTGCAGGACTGTCAGGAGTTGCTGAAAGTAAAGGAAGAGGAACTGCAGGACTCCCAGAAGGCTCTAGAAGAGAATGAGAGAGAGGTGGAACAGCATGTGCAGGATCTCCAGGCCTCGCAGACCTCACTAAAAGAGCTGGAGGAGCAGATGCAGCAGGGAGCTCAGGATCTCGAGGAGTCCCGGAGCACGGTACAGCAGCAGGAGCAGGAGCTGGCCCGCGTGAAGGAGATCTTGAGGAGAACGGAGGAAGAGCTGGATCAGCGTGTGGCACTCATGGGAGAGCGATGCTTGGTGCTGGAGGATGAAAGAGGTGAATAAGATTTGGCTTTAAAATGCAGCATGAAGTATTTTTAAGATGCACTTTTATGAATAAGCACATATTGTGAGTTTTATTTGATTGTCTGTGTGTGATTGTGTGCAGCCAGGACACAGGAGGAGGGTCTGCGACGGGTGCAAGAGTTGAAGGCAGAGATCAGCTCATTGGAGGAGAGTAGGAAGACTGAGAAAGAAGCATACAAAAAACTGGAGGAGGAACATGATGCACTGACCAAACAACTGGAAGAGAAAAAGGTGAACTTATTCATTTTCACAGCAAACAAGTAAATTGAATGGGCCTGTTTGATGAACATTTTTGTTATTTATAAAAAATAATTCATAGTAAAAAATACATATTTGGCTTAAACAATAAGTGATCACAATTATATGTCTGACAGTTAGTCGTCAGCACAGAAGTATTAAGGGGGTCATATGATGCGATTTCAAGTTTTCCTTTCTCTTTGGAGTGTTACAAGCTGATTCTGCATAGATAAGATCCCTGAAGTTGCAAAGACTAAAGTCTCAAAACCAAAGAGATATCAAAGTTAAGACTCTGCCACGCTCCCCTAAAACGGCTCGTTCTAACACGCCCCCACATATCTACCTCACTATGTGGCAATATTAGCATAATGCGGCCCAAATGTGCACGTAAAGAAAGAAGGCGTGGTTTCAGTAACGGCAGTTAGTGTTGATGCAGCCATGTCAAGGAGACACTAGAGTGAGAGAGTGAGAGAGTGAGAGAGAGAGAGAATCACAGTGGAGTCAGTCACATGTGTACTACACACATACCAGCTTCACTGTGTCTGTCACATGACTCTGTTCCCCTTTCGGGCTCTGTCTTTACATTTATTTTGAAAGATGAAGCTCGCGATTATGGTAAGGGGCATTACATTTCCGACGAGTGCTTG